GTGAAAAGCCCCTCTTCCGGGATTTTTTTTTCCTTACATTTGTATTTATTCATGTTGTAGATAGAGAAGGAAGTCAGTGAAGCCATGATGAAGTCCTTGAAATACTGTGATGTTGATACAGTGTCTGAGAGACAGCCCCTGTGCCAGTACCGAGCTGCCACCATCCACCACAGGCTGGCTTCCATGTACCACAGCTGCCTCAGGAACCAGGTACTGCCCCAGGCTCTTTGAATTTCTAAATTCCATCCTTAACATGCTCAGTATGTGTGGAGCTGATATTTATCTTTTTACCTGTAGCTGGGATGTATTTATTTCAATTACTTAACCAAAGAAACGAGTGCTGTTTCCCAACCCTCTCCAAGTAAACCTTTGCAGTGGCTCCTCATGACCATCCAGAGAGGGAGGATTTACTGTGTGCCCTCCTGTGAGTGCAGGTTGGTGATGAACACCTGAGGAAGCAGCACCGTGTCCTCGCTGATCTCCACTACAGCAAAGCAGTGCGGCTCTTCCAGCTCCTGAAGGATGCCCCCTGCGAGTTCCTGCGTGTGCAGCTGGAGAGAGTGGCCTTTGCAGAGTTCCAGATGGCCAGTAAGTGCAGCTCTGGCTTTAAACAGCTTTCCAAACCACCACTGCCTACTTAGTTTCATTTTTAGATAACTAAATTTGTATGAGAGCAGGAGCAATCTGCTGCTCAGAATAGAATTTTCCTCAAGAGAGGAGACAAGGCACTTTTATCTTGCTGCTTTTCAGCTGACTGGGGCAGTAAGGGCTTTCTTCCTAACTCTTGAAGTCTTTGGATGGAAGAAAAATACAGTCTGTAACATTAGCCTTTTGTACTTCATTTTTTTAGGTCAGAACAGCAGTGCTGGGAAGTTAAAGACTCTGTCTGGGGCCCTTGATATAATGACCAAAACCAAGAGTGCATTTCAGCTCATCAGGAAGGAGCTTGTGGCAGAAGCTGAACAGGTAAAGGAACTTCGAGCGGTGTGATACCTGCTCCCTTCTGGCTTGTGCCTTCACAAATGAAGGGCCATTTGGCAGTTAAAATATTCCTTGGTTACTTTTCCATAGAGCCTGTGTGGCTTAAAGAGTGTGGACAGAGTTAGGTGTATTGCAGCTCTCCCTTAACCTGGAAAAAAAAATTCCTCTAGAACATGATCCAGAGATGGATTAAAACATATTTCTGTACAAAAGTGGCCTGACTCTGTGAATGAATTTCTTTTTGTGCAACTCTGCTATCCCTTAGAAGTCTTCTTTAAGAACTTCAGAGTCTGTGTATAATAAAAAATGTTCTCTCTCTCTCTGGTATATTTAATATTTAAATATTAAACATGCAGGGCTGTCTGTAGGCAGTGAATTGTGTTCCTGATGCCTCAGTCACTAATTACTTGCAGGATGTGCTGATGTGTGTGTCCCTTGCTGGCACAGTTTGGGTAGCACATGTAAAAGTCAGCTCACCTGCAAGATGGGTTTTTTAAACCATTCCCTGTATTTAAAAGGTGGAATTCAGTCGAATTATTTTGGGTTATTTGTCTCCTGTAGATCAGCAAGGATAAAAGTCCTGCTGAGAGCCTGTCAGTGAACGATTCCTCTGCAGGCCTTAATAAAGAGGAAGTCTTGAAACTGCTTGGGATTTTTGAGTCCAGGATGTCTTTCCTTCTCCTCCAATCTATTAAATTGTTAACTTCAAGCAAAAAAAAGATTGGGTAAGTTGAAACTTGGTGTCCTTTATCCTGACTGGAGTGAGATTGGTGTGTGACTGAGCAGAGTTCCTGGGAGAGAAGCTGCTGGGTGCTGCTGGTCTCTTGATGCATCTTGCTGATAAAATATCAGTGGAGTTTGGCAAGCAGAACACTTGAGAAGAAATTCAGGCACATCAGTAATGCAGCAAAGAGAGCTGCTGGGATTCAGGACAAACCTGACTTCTTTCTGAGCTGACTTGGAAGAGATGTTGAGTTTTGGTGTGGCAGCAAATTCCTTCCCCCACTCCTTCTGTTGATTTGATCTGAATGTGTGTGGTGTTCTTCTGGGACCCAGAAAATACCTTTTACTCCCCCTGCAGCAAGTGTGTGACTGCAGGAGCTGCTCCTAATGTTACATAAAGGGAAGTTCTGAAAATGTGGCATTAGTTTTACAGGATTCTTTTAGGCTTGGAAGTTGGGTTAATAGTTTTGGGGATTGAAGCACTGCTGATGGAAGAGCTGTTTTGCCAAAAGTAACCTGTGAAATGAGTTCATTGTGCCCAGCAAGTTGTCTGCTGATAGTGGGAGACTGGTAAATAAAAAACATGAGAAGAGAACACAGCCTAGGTGCATTTTTAGCTGTTTTTCAGGCAATGTTAGGAGCTTTTACCTCCTAAAAAAGAGCTTCCACAAGGTGGCAGTCTGAATATGTGAAACACAGAGGATTTTACAGGATAATTTATGTTACCAAGCAGATGTCACAGCTAACTGAGTAAATAGGTTTAGTTCTGTTGTCTCATAACATGAGCAACTCCTCATTTTTTGTTTTGGAGGGTTGTAACCCCCACATTTACCTTGGCATCATCCTGAGGTTTTGCACTGAAGATTCCACACAGGGGAACCTGTTACAGTTCGAATGCTGTGCAAGGGGACTCTTAAAATCTCCTCAGCTCCTTGAAACTTTGAGGCCAAGCTTGAAACTACCTTTGATTTAACCTTTCTTGTGCCTTCTGTATATCCTGTGTGCATTTCCTCCCTTCTGCTCTGCAGAGGAGAAGTTCTGCCTTCTGCTTTAATAATGGGGTGAAAAGGGGGGAAACTGGAGCTCAAATGCTGCTTCAGGGTCTCAGGTGCACTTGGGCAAAAAACAGTAGAACATGCAGTGAAATTAGTGTTTGATAGCCAGACTTGCAGCCTGACAGTCAAAATGGATGAAATCAGTTTTACCCTCCCAAAGTGGAATCATGAACAGAACTTGGCTGTGCAAATTGGAGGGGAAAAGTAATTGAAAGTAATACTTTGCTCTGGGAATACTTGTAACTTATCCCAGAAATGCTTTGCATTTCAGTGGCTATTTATTGACTACCTGTTCTGTTTAATAAATGAACCTGATTCCTGCCAAGTGTGTGATGAATTTAATTTGCTTCAACATTTCTCAGTCATTCCTGAAGCACTTGCAATTAACCTGACTGCTGCTTGTACATTTTCTATTCTATTACACTTATATTTTACGTTCCTGCCTGCAGTATAAACAGAATGCTCTGACTGCAGTGCAGGGAATGGTGGGGCTGAGGATATCCCCAGGGACACTCACCACCATGATTTAATAATGCTCTTGCTAACGTGCAAACCGCAGAGCTGTGGTCAGCTAACGAGCTGGGCTTCTCTGCTCTCTTTGCAGGGGCAGCAGTGAGGAAGAAGCAGCTCTGAGAACAAACAAGCAGGTTTATTCCCTGCTGCTCCGTGCCACTGCCAACAAGGGGCTGTCGCTGCTGGAGCGCACCGAGCTGCTGCTGAGCCTGCTGGAGCAGCTGGCCCCGAGCAGCGAGGGCAGCCCCGGCACGCAGTGAGGGCAGCCCTGCACAGCTGCAGCACCAGTGCCTTGCTGGGAGCACTGGGGTGTTCCCATGGGGTCTTTGTGTTCCTTTAGGGTGAGCTCTCACCGCTGTTGTTCCGTTGGAACCTGGGAAAGCACAGGGATTCCTGTTTATCCCCACAAAGCTCTCCTTGTTCGGCTCGCGGCGTTTCTTTGTTTGAAATGCCAGCTTGGAGTTCTGGAGATAAAAATGTAACTTTTTGCACCGTGGGGAAATTCCTGGTTTTTCTCTTGCAGTGAAATCCGTGTTTTGCATAAAGATGTAACCTCACAGCTGCTCTGGTTTGGTATTTATTGAAATGTGTTTTGTAAGCAGGGCTGCACTGGAGCACTTCTGCTGCTAAAGGCAGCCCAGGCTGTACCAGGAGATTTCTGTGGAATATGTGGATGCACTTCTTCACCCCAGGGAGGATCCTGCACAAAAACCTGTGCCTTTCTAGCTTTGATGTGACTCTTGCAATTTATCAGCCATCTCTGGGATTTTGTTTTGGAAAGTGAATGGTTTCAGCTATGTTGGAATTGATCAAGAATAGTATTATCTTTTTCAGACTTGAAACTGTGAATAAACGAGAGGATATTTTTAAATAAAAAATTATTTATTAAATATAAACATCAGTCTGCCTTGTTTTTCTTGGTTATGACCCTCCTCAGAGCAGCAAATTTGAATTAAACAGAATTAAAACTATCTGAAAGACAAATTTAACCTTTTTTGAAAAATATCTATAAACTTCAGTTGAACACTGAGTGGGGTCTTACCTCAGCATGTGAGGACTCTGGGTTTTTTTGCTAGTATGTATTATTTGAAGATGAAATTTTCCAGAATATAACATCTGATGTCCTGATGTTCTTCTGCAAATAAATGTGCTTCTTTATTGCATAATAACAGTATAAACCACTTTACAGAAAGGTAGAAATGGGTTTTACATGCATTCTTAGGGAACTACATGAGTTTAAGGTCCCTTCCAACCCAAACCAGCCTGGGATTCTGTGCTCTTCCCAGCAGTTTGTACCCTCCTGAGATTCCATTTCATCCTGAGAAAGGGAAGTGTTTCATAAGCCAAACACACGTCCTGCTGTGCCCAGTGTGACTGATGACCCCACACTCTGGAATTATTCAGTTTACAGGAACAGAACTTGGCTTCCCTCGTGTTCCAGGTGTGGAGCTTCTCACGTGGATGGAAATTCAGGTCCCATCCTCAGACTTCACCTGAACTGTGCAGCAAACGAGTTTCTCTGTAATTCCAGGAACCTCAGCACTGTGCTAACAACACAAATGACTTTCAGGAGGATTATAAATGAGTACATTATGATTCAAATCTCCTGTGAAGCCACTGGCATTAGCTGGAGGGAGCGTTAGTGCTAAATAGGATTATTTTTCCCCTTCCAGAGATAAACAATTAAAGCGTAAACCACATTCAGAACAGACAACTCTAACACCATTATTAACTCTGATAAGCCAGTTTATTTCCCTGTTAATAAATCCTTCATTACAGGAACAGAAACCAAAAGCTAATTTTTAAGACCCTGTTAGGGTAACAAGGGGCAACAGCTGACCTGAACGAGCCCCACACAGAGCAACTTCACTGCAAGAATTCTCCTGTTCCACTCAGAATCTACAATTAACATTTTTATACAAATACCTGAAAAGCAGAACAACAAGCAAACAAGTTCACAAAAGAAAATACTTCATTGGAATAAGGGTTTTTTCCTACAAAAGAAGTTGTGCAAGTAAAAACTGATCATACAGAGAAATCCAACCAGCTGTGTGCTGGGGGATACCTGAGGTGAGGTGTGGGGCTGATTTCGGTGTCCCAGTGTTCACAGCTGCTTTTCAAGGATAAAATATTCACAGTGCACACAGGAGGAAGGGGAAGAGCTGGATGCCTTAAGGATGCTGGACAGATCCCAGATTTCTTAACATATTTAAGTGCAACCTTCCCACACCCATCCCTGACCAGGACAGCGCTTCATAATCCCAAAACCCGCGTTCTTGCAGGACGACAGGTCTGCAAATTGCAAAATCCCTCCTGGAGCACCACGCAGAGCTCGCTGGGCAGGCTGTGCTCTCAGTGGGGCCCAGAGCAGCTGTGTGGCTGCAGGGCAGCGTGGATGGCAGCAGCCAGGTCCTGGGCCGTGGGGCTCGCTGCAGTGCAGCTCACGGCGATGCCGGCGCCTCGCAGCGCCTCTGCTGTGCTGGGGCCGATGGCAGCGAACTGCGGGGACAGCAGCAGCACTCAGCCCTGCTCCTGCCAGCCGTCAGCTCTCCCAGCTCAGGCTGGAGATTTGCAGCATTAAAAGCCACCCATCAATGGAGCTACTTAGCAGCGACTCGGGGAAGATGAGTGTTTATCTCGCCATTACAAACACTGAAAGCTCCGAGTCCCAAGGAACAGTGAGAGGAATTTTAATCAGCTGCAGCCTGGTGCATGCAACAACTCCTCACACCACGGCATCACTGAGGGAAAATGAAGTCTATCCCAATGGAGATGGGGAAAACAATTTCTTTTTTAAAATCCACCCAAAGACCAGGTCAGATGGGGCACTGCGGGGACAGCAGCAGCACTCAGCCCTGCTCCTGCCAGCCGTCAGCTCTCCCAGCTCAGGCTGGAGATTTGCAGCATTAAAAGCCACCCATCAATGGAGCTACTTAGCAGCGACTCGGGGAAGATGAGTGTTTATCTCGCCATTACAAACACTGAAAGCTCCGAGTCCCAAGGAACAGTGAGAGGAATTTTAATCAGCTGCAGCCTGGTGCATGCAACAACTCCTCACACCACGGCATCACTGAGGGAAAATGAAGTCTATCCCAATGGAGATGGGGAAAACAATTTCTTTTTTAAAATCCACCCAAAGACCAGGTCGGATGGGGCTGGAGCAACCTGGTGTAATGGAAGGTGTCCCTGCCCATGGCAAGGGGGTGGAACAAGATGGTTTTAAGGTCCCTTCCAACCCACACCACTCTGGGATTTTATAATTCTATATAATAACACTTGTATTTGCTATAAACTGGGGTTTTCTTCAGAGAAATAAACACAAACCAAAGATAAAATCAAGGTTGTAACAGCCCTTCTATCTCATTTGCCCACCCCAAATTTATTGCCTCTTCTATTTCACCATTTTAAAGAGAAGATACCTTGACTTGGTTGATCAAATCCCCTGAAAGCTTCTGGATGTGCTGGAGGCAGAATTTGACACCGGATGGGCTGAAGAACACAACGCTGGCAGGGATCCCCTGGGTGAAAGAAGCAGAGGTTGGCACAGCTCCCTCCCTCCTCCAGCAGTGTGCCAGTGCCTTGGCACAGGAGAACAGCACACAGGGAATGGCTCCCAGTGCCAGAGGGCAGGGTTAGATGGGATTTTGGGAAGGAATTCCTCCCTGTGAGGGTGTAAGGCCCTGGCACAGGGTGCCCAGAGCAGCCCCTGGATCCCTGGAAGCAGCCTGGGACACTGGGAGGTGTTCCTGCCATGGCAGGGGTGGCACTGGGTGAACTTTAAGTTCCCATCCCACCCAAACCATTCCATGATTCTGTAATTCTATGATGGAGGCTTCTAACATAGAAAAACCAGAAGAGTAATCTTGAGAAATGAAAAGCAATGATTACTTTTACACAAACTGTGTAGGGCAGGTTGCTCCTGGATTCTGATCTGTGATGCACAGCAAAGATGCCCAGTGATATTTCAGTTACACTACTTCCAAAAAAGGAATATTCTGGAAGCCATTGTCACCTGCCTCAGAAAATCCCAAACTACATCAGTGTCCAGTACCTCTTGGGAGAAGTAACAGCTCAAAGATTCCTGCAGATCAGGGTGTTGGGCTGTTTGGTAAACAGTGAGGCTCTCCAGGGGTATGCCTGCAATCAGGACATGCAGTCATAATTAATTAATTCATTCATTTCTGTTATTTCAGTTCAACACTCACAACATCCTAACTGCACTGAAGTGTAACTATTTTAGGCTAAAAAGACACAAAAGTTCTGTGAAGGATTTGCAGGTCCCAGAGCTGTGGGCAGCCATCCAAGCTCCCAGTGTTTACTCCCGTCCTCTCCTCAGCAAGTTCCACTTTTACTTCTTCCAATTTGGTTCACAAGCTTTAGATACAACTTTTCTCATCACTGACTAATTAAAATGGGTCTCCAGGGGAAGTTCAACCTTCTTCTCTAAGCACTGTAGGAAGCACTTCTCTTTTCAGGGCTCCACAAGGAAATAGGAGAGCTGAGGAATTGGGTTTCTCTCCTGTAAACACACAAACAAGAACTTTAATTAACTCAGGCCTTTAATAAAGGGTAATTGTGATTTAATACATTTTAAAGGTATCAAATGCTGATTTATCAAATGCCTCACCACAGACACAGCTCTGAGGTAACTGAAAACATCTGCAGCCCCAATTCACAGGACAGGCTACTCAGTAGGAACATTAGAAATGTTCCAAAACTAGAATATGAATATTGGCTAAAAAGATAACTCCCTTTGTAGAAGGGCAAGGGGAATAGAAATGCACTTTATCTCCTCCTCAGCACAACCTGCCTCAATTTGATATTTAAAATCTGTCCTGCTCAATAAATGACAGAGCTCTCTATAAAAGAATATTCAGGCAGACAAAGAAAAGGACAATACTGTGCTGGAAAGTTTTCTATCTGCAATTCCATTTTCTTAATTCCCCAAGGAAAAAGGATTCTGGTTGCACTGCTGGCGTGGGAGTGGATATCCTCACTTGCTTTTGTCAAATGAGGAATTTAACAGCAGACTTGCTTTGCACAGCTTTTGCCTTTTCTATAAATAAGAAACACAGAGAAAATTTCAAGATTAAATTCCACAGATTGATACAGCTTTGCGTTCAGCTTTCCAAAGAAATGACATTATTTTATTACTAATTCAGATCTGTTAATACATTTTTAAGAGACAATTACTAGAGAAGAAATGCTTTTGAGTGCTGGAAGGAGATTGTTCATTTATGCAAGCAGATATTCTTCAGGGATTAAAAAAAAAAGGGGCAGCAGAGTGAAAATCAAGTGGAAAGACCCTTGTAGCAGTTAACCCAGACACACCTGAGTGTCCTGACTGCACACTGAGGTTTTAACAGAAACCAGATATTCTAAAAATTAAAATTAAAAATTAGAGGAAAAATGAACTTGGCTCAGAATGTAAAAAAGATTTTAAAATTAAATAAAATTTAAGGAGACTTTTATCATGCAGTTATTTTGATACCTGTAAACAAAGACCAATTTTTTTGGCACAGAAAAATTCCTTGGTAGGCCTGAATGACACAACAAGGACTGGGATCTCTTGCTTCTGTAGCCAAATATTTGCCTTGAGAAGTGTAAAGCCAGACTGTCTTGGAGTAAATTCCTTTATTTCCCAATCCCTTAAACTGAATTGGGTACCAAAGCATAAAAGGTAACAAATAAAAATCACATTATTTCAGCTTTTAATTTTATTCTGGCAATAACCCCTCATGATACAAGAAATTCAGAGCCATTCCTTTCATTTACTTCTTTATGCAAAAACAAAAAGGAATTTATACATAATAGGGAACGTGAGATAATTTCATCTGCACTTCCAAGGTTGTTATAAAGCACTTGATCAGCTGAGAGACTTAAATATGCACAGCCCAATAAATCCTGGAGGATATTTCTATGTCTCAACAACAAACAGGCTCCAGTGACTGAAATTCACTGCTTGGTTAATTTTTTTTCACCTTCATACAACACAATAAACAGGTATTTCTCTTGTCTTTCTGCTCAAAAGAATCCCTGGCAAATATTAATTCATTGCCAGAAGTAGATTTTCCAGCACTAAAAATTAGCTGAAAGCTTTCCTTGCTTTAATACATTTGCTATTAGAAGAGAGGAGATGTGTTATTCTTCACTCATGATATATTCGTGCTGTATTTTTAATTTTCAGAATTTATTTTTTGATCTTGTGTTGGCAACTCTCATTTTTAGCATTAAATATCTCTCTAGGGCTGAAGTATTTTATTTGCCAGTGAATTAGAGAGCACTGTGCCCAGCAAAAACAATCCTTTCCCATTTTTCTTTTTCCTATAAATCTCTGCTACTGACCAGCCTTTGCTCAGCACCTCTCACATCTGTACAAAAACTCTTTTTTCACTGCTTCTACTGAGCCATCCACTCAAAAAATAAACAGCCCCTAAGTCTAAAAATCTTCCTTATTGCTACTGGAAATGTTAACAAATCAGAGTAAAAACAGAAGAAGTCAGTAAACAGACTTTTAAAATTCCCCAATAATCTGATAATAGGTTGAGAAAAGTTACAGATTTAACCATTAACAGAATGGTTAAACAAAACTTAAAGCATCATTTAATTTCTTCAAAACCACTCAGTTTTGGTGATGAAAACCAGATCCCTCTGAAACCACAGGGTAATTTTGGCGAAAGTCACCAGCACTTAAATCTTCTGATTTAGCAGCAATTTCCAATCATTACAGCTCTGATCTTCCAGTAAAAATAAACATTTTCCTGCTGGCTCATATAGTATTTATTAATTAACCAGAGAGTCTAAGATTACATGTAAATTAATATCTTGTATATGTATTTTGAAGTATTTTTGCCTCACTGTGCATTTGATTTTACCTCAAGGAAATTCTGAAATGATGGAAAGGACCTTAATTTATTTAGGATTACCTTAATTTAACTCCAACATTTGAGCCACTTACTTGAACAAATATATTCAGCTAATTTCTCAGCATTTCCAGCCTTTTCTCCTTGTGGAACAAGACCAATTTCTTCCACTAGAACCAAAAGCAGCAAAGAAAAAACCATGGAAAACAATGAGAACAATTCAGATTTCCTGTCACAGAACCCTGGGATGGGAAGGGAGGCACACAAATAATTTGTGCACAAATCATCTGTGCAAGGTTAGAATCCCTTTCATCCAATTTCACTTCCAAAGTCAGTGACAAAACCACATTCAAATTAAGAATAAAGGGTTTTTTTTCCTGTTTTGACCCAATTTTTCAAGCAGTGACCATCACATTACAACAAAAGCAGCAGAAATCCAGAGGCTGGATTAGATCCATGGATATCCTTGGCTGGAGCATGGATAATTCTAATGTTTACATAATTACCTCTCTTCCAAATTAACCAGTTTAAAACTGAAATTTCTTCCTCAGCACCCTTGAACAGCAGCTATTCCTCCAAAAATTGTACTTACAAGCCAGATTTAGCCAATTTTTCTTTTTTTTAACCCCAGCTTACCTAAAGAAGCTGTAGCTTTTCCTACCACATATGTTGGTTTGATATTCCACATTTGTTTAAGAGATTTTGACCAGGCTGAAAAACATCAAATTATACTAAATTAAATTAAATTTAAGCACATGGCAACATAATGTGAATGATAAATGACTATTTGGACTTCTGTTTAATCCACAAATGCAGCAAAATGATAAAAATAACTAAAACTCCACTACAAATCTGGATGTACAAATCCTAAAGGATCAAAAATAGATACACCAAGGTTTTTACTGTCTTGTTTTAACCAGAGCAGCACAGGATACTGAGTCTTTTCTGGGATTACCAGGGGTGAAAAAAGAAATACAAACTACAACAGTAAAAATAAAAATCAGAAGTAAAACCACAAGGATTTGCTGCCTTTGAGAGGAACCCAAATAGAAACTACACACTCATTTTTATTATTAAAATATTTATTTTCCAGAAGTCCTAATCAAGCTTGGGGATGAAATTTAGAGATTACTTTTGACCTAAAATCTTCTTCTGCTGCTGAAATGCTACAAAAGCTGATGGCCTCAGTGCATTTACTGCTTACTCAAAGGTGTAACCTTACTCACAGGAGTAAGGTTCGATTTGTCCACAGCCCAAAAATGGAGCAGGTAAAGTAGAAACTCCATGCCAGAATCACCAAAACAAGAATTTGGAAGAGTTTGCAAGGATTTGGCGTTTCATTGTGATGGGTATTTCTGTTTAGCAGGGTTCTTCCTCACTCCTCATCTCTTGGCTTTGCTGCATCAGCACTTCTTGACCATTTTTTAGCTAATAATTAATTCACTTGAGAAATTTCTCATTCAAAACTGCCTTTTTCTGCAGCATTTTATATGAATTATACAGGCACAGAAGTGATGGCCAGTTTTTATGACATGATCTTCTCTTTAAGGGAGGAAAGCAGTCATCAAGCAAACCAGGCACTGCAGCAAAATATTCCTAAACCAGAGCTGGCAAAGCTCTCACTAATCTGTAATTTGTACCAAAAGCTCCTTTCCTTAATTTTTAAGTGTGGAAAATATAATCCTTAAAAGCTCAGTGTAGCATGAGCCCTTAGTGATGTTAAAAGAACTGTGAAATGCAGGTTTTTTTTAAAAAATGATGCTCCAAATATCTACTGGTGGGTGAAATAAAATCCATTAAAATCCAAACTTCACAAGATGCTGGAAGAAAAAGACCAAGGAATATCAAGATGTACTTACCCTCTTTCTTACTCTTCTCTTTTAAACAGATCTTGATGGCTTCTAATGCTCTTGGGCTGGTAAAAACTAGGCCTCCATAGCACTCTGGATGGGAAAGCTATTTAGAAACAGTAAATTTAAAAGTAAAAAAAAACCACAAAAAAAACCTTAAAAATCAGTTGATCAATTATTTACAAGCTTGTGACAAACAGAACAGCTTCAATAACTGCCTGAAATGCCCCAAGACTTGTGACAATTCACAATTTAAATGTGAATTCTGTCTGACCAATTTAATTCTTTAACAAGCAAGGACAAGGTCCTTGATGCTGCACATGAAATTTTGCTGTACATGAAATTTTACTGTACAAAGCTGGTTTGTGGCAACACAAAAAGAGGCACCACGCAGAGAATGATGAAATGAGATCAAAATCCTGCTGGAAATAAGACAACTGAAAGAATTTCAAACTTACCTTCTCAAATAAGCTCTCAAGAGAGGTGAATTCAAATGACAAAACTGGGATCAACGTTGCTTCCAAGCTGTATGATCCTAATTCCTGTCAAGAAAAGGTTTGCAGCTCTTGAAATAAATTCCAAACAGCATTTTTACTTTTTCAAAGAGCTGAGTCAGCACAAGCATTTCTCTTTGCTAAAGCAAAATAAAAAGGCACTTTATTTCCTTTCCCTGGTAAATCTAGTTTGGATTTGTTAATTATTTAATATTACAAGATTTTATTAAACAAAGATATGGAGGACTCTGACCTTCTGAGGTACAGGAGACACCAGCACAAAACTCTGAAGTCCCCAAGTGCCCACCCAGTCCTGCAAATGTCCCTGTGCATCTCTATAATTCTGTCAGTAGGTTTCTTCTAAAGAAATAATCCTCCTTTATCAGGAATTCTTCCTCTTATCAGTGAGATTTACTCACAGGACCAAGGAACCCCAGCAACAGGTAACCTCTATTTCACATCACATTCCCAGTAAAACCACAAAGAATTTCTGTAATCTTTATTCTGTCCATATGAACATAAACAATAGTAATTAATTCAAATGAAGCTGGTTTAATATCAGTACTTTGCTGAGATCTTTACAATGAATTCACTACAAATGTCCCATAATTAATACAAGTTTTTGCAGGAAGGGCTATTTTCCAAGATACTTTTTCTCTCTGCATAATTTCAGACATGCACTTCTAATTTTGAGCAAGCCCCTTTTCCCACTTGAAACAGTTGCATTCATTTTTAATAAAGAAGTGACACTTTCTTTTTTTCTAGTTTTATCAACGTTTACTCACTTTAATATAAGGATCTGGTCCTGAATCTTTGTCTTTGGGATCCTTCAGCAGCAGAACCTTCATTGTTCACCAAGGAAGCCCAGCAGAACCCTGAAATACAATAATAGAATTTATCTTAATTAGATCTAGAGGAGTTTTTGACTCCAACAGTGACTTTAACAGCTCCAAGAACTGGGCTGCTCCCAGCTGTACTGCTGCTTACACAGTGAGTAAGCAGTTATTGTGCATTCTCCAGGCAGGAGCACCCACCCTGATAAGGGCAGAAAATAATGTGCTGCCTTTAGATAACACTGCCCAAGGAAGAGGCTCTAGTGAAACTCATCAAGGAGAACACATTTTAAAGAATATTTTTGTAAAGGCAGTAACAAACCCTAGAATGCCACCACGTTCTGCAATTGAATCAGATCCTATCTACAAAAATATAATTTTTCTGTTAATTTCCATGCTAGTTTTCACCCTCTGCTCATCAAAATGAGTACACAAAGATATTGATTTTATTTAATATATGTGTGTCTATATGCACACATTTATGCATCTATAATAATATAGATAATATTCATATACCTTCTCTGATACTCTAGGAAACAAGGCAGGACTGAAAACATCTATTCTGCCATAAAAAATGGGAGATGATACTTCTCAGTTCCTTACAAGCTTTGGTGCTAAACTCAAAGTTACAAAAAGCAAGCAAATACACAAATAATACAAAGAGAAATCCACTCTCTAAGTGCACATTTACCCCAGTTACCAGTGTGCTATTTTCCTGACAGATCACACACATAGGAAAACTCACCTTCCTCTAAATTCTTTCCCTGAATATCAGTAGTCAAATTTTGGCAATGACCTAATTGCTCCCAGAGCAAACATAGCTTTAAAAAATAAAACAAAAAAAACCCCAAAGAAACAAAAACCCCCAAACCAAAACAAAATAAAAAACCCCACAGATGCGTTTGAGGCTTTAAGGGGAACATGAAAATTTGAGCCTACTTGAAGCAGTTATTTATAATTATTTATAAAGCTGGAATTACATCCCAAGGCTCTGTGCCTTGCATTTCTTCTGGCTGGCAACAGCAAGTGCCCAATGCTCTTTTTTCCACGGCCTCATTAATTCATTTCTTCATTAATTAGACACAAAGCGTTAAATGGAACACGTTCCGTACAGCCGAGGCTCGATCGTTAATGAGCATTTTTCAGTGCTGAGGACATTTCAAGGCGTTTTCCCGACTGGCATTTTTTACAAAGACCAGAATCACGTTGTGCTTACGGCGCTCTCCCTGTCACCCTTCTCTGCGGTTTGTCTGGAATTATCCAGGGAATTTGGTTCAGGGGAAGCCGGGACACGATTTTTATACAGCGAGCAGGCTGATTCCTGATTTAACTGGCAATTTTTACTAGCGCTGGTTTTTACTTACAGTAATTTTCGCTAATGTCGGAGATGCTCGGACACTCTGTTCCGTTTAAAGCACAGAACCCCTGAGGCTGGAGAAGCCTCCAGGGTCACCGAGCCCGAGCTGCGGCGTCCCCAGCCCCAGAGCCACCTCCAGCCCTTCCTGCAGGGATGGGGGACACAAAGCGCCCTGATTTAACCCCTGACAACCATTCCCGTGAAGGAATTCCCTTTGGAAGGAAGTGACACCACAGCACGAAGAGGAAATCCGGCTTCGCGGGGAGCGGGGCGGTGCGGGACGCGCCTCCCCCTTCAGGCTCCGCGGCCGCCCGGGCCCCTCCGCGCTCCGCGGCCGCTGCCTGCCGCTCGCTGTCGCGACATTCGGCGACATTCGGCGACATTCGGCGACATTCAGCGACATCCCGCGGCCACACCGCCCTTCCGCCGAGCCGTGCCATGGCCACGCCGGCCAAGCGCCGGGCGCGGGGCCCCGCCGGGGAGCAGGGCTCCCACAGCGGCTCCGGCAGCTCCGAGGGCTCCGACAGCGGCTCCGAGGGCTCGGAGTGCTCGGACTCGGACGAGCCCATCGCTGAGGTGAGCGGGACGGGCCCCGCACGGCTCCTGCACGTGTGGGACTGGCAGGGGGTGTTCGCGTTGGGATTGTTGTCAGGGCGTGTTCGGGAAGGGCTTGGGGAGGGATTGTTGTCGGGGGATGTTGGGGAAGGATCTGTCAGGGGACGTTCGGGAAGGGCTTGTGCCCCACCAGGCCCAGCCGGCGCTGGGTGCGTGTCCTGTGGGAGAGCAGGGAGCTCTCCCTGCCGGTCCCTGTGGGCCGGAGCTCTCCCTGCCGGTCCCTGTGGGCCGGAGTTCTCCCTGCCGGTCCCTGTGGGCCGGAGCTCTCTCTGCCGGTCCCTGTGGGCCGGAGCTCTCTCGCCCTGCTGGTCGCTGTGGGCCGGAGATCCAAAGTGTGTTCGCTGCGTTGTTGTTGTTGTTGAAAGTTTTTTAATTTTTTAACTGTTTTTCAAGTGTTGGGGTCTCAGCTGTACAGCTCCCCAGCCCTTGGAGTGTCTGCTGAGGTGTGGGGCTGCAGGCGGCTGCTTGGAAATGGTGCTGTCAGCACAGAGGATTAGCTCTTTTATTCTTTTCTGCTGTGTTTTATTATTATAAAAATAAATTTGCTTCCTTTTATTGTAGAATCCCAGAATAGTTTGGTTCGGAAAGGAATATAAAGCCCATCCACCTTCCACTATCCCTTCCCCTGGACAGGGTTTTCCAAGCCCTGTCCAGCCTGGCCTTGGACACTTCAGAGATCCAGGGGCAGCCTGTGCCGGTGTCTCCTGAATTTTACTGCTTCCCGAGGGACTGTGTGCCTGTTTTCTACATTGCAAACAGGTCTTTAACACTGTTCTTCCAGTGGACAGCTAAGGCCTTGACCTCGATGTGGGATTGGAGAGAATTCTGAGGCTGAATGGTGGCAAAAGTCAGGCTGAGTTGTTGAGCTTGCTCAGGAGGTGTAATTGAAACTGGCAATTAAAAGGCAAAATAACCTTGAATGATCTTGAACAGTGGAATAGGTGGGCAGAGTAACCTCAGCAGATGTGACTTTTGATATTGAATAGCAATAAAAATGTTGGTAGACACACAGCATTTGTTCTGGAAGGAGAAGCAGCCTAGGTCTCATCATTTGCAGAGTTCCACAGTGGGGTTAATGATGCCAGGAGGCTTTGGGGAAATAGCAGAACTGTGGGTTTGGGTGTAACTATTTAAATGTCTGCAGCAATCTGCAGCTGCTGAGGTGTTAGACCCCAGTCCTGAAGTTTCCAGGTTTAACCTCCTGGGTCAAGCCTCTCTCCAGGAGGAGTCTGTGGCTATAAAAGCTGTAGTTGTGTGAACCAGATGGCAGGGGCAAAGCATTTAAGGTTTGTTCGTGACACAATTGGTGGGTCAGTTTTAAAAAGTTGCTTTCACAGATGTTCTCTAAATGTCACAGGAGAAATGATAACAATGGCTGAGATTACTGCTAGGTGGAAATAAGTTCTGTGTGTGCTGTTTGCCATTACTTGTCTTCAAGTTTCTTGCAGTTTAGCTTTGTTCTGATATAACCTCTTGTGTGGTGTGTCTGATATTCTCTGTTATACCCCACAGGAAGTGAATGTTGAATTTGAGGCACATTCCATATCAGACAATGACTATAATGGGATAAAGAAGTTACTGCAGCAGGTACTGTGGCTACTTGTCTGCTTGGTTGGTATTGCATTGATAAATAATATCTAAGGAGTTGTGCAAAGGCATCAGCTCTCATTCTTTGTATTGATTTATAGCTTTTATATATTACTTTGCTTCCTTTTATTAGATAATCCCAGAGTAGTTTGGGTTGGAAGGGACCCTAAAGCCCACCCAGTGCCACCCCCTGCCATGGCCAGGGACACCTTCCACTGTCCCAGATTGCCCCAAGCTCCATCCAGCCTGCCCTTGGGCACTTCCAGGGATGGAATAACCACAGTTTTCAGATCATACCAAACTCCAGAGGGTACCAGTGTGGAAATATCAGCATGTGGAAGGTGCAGGAGCAAGCACCTCCAGCAGCTGGTTGTTAGTTTTTGCAGTATTATAATGAAGGAAGATAAATAAAAATCTCACTTTATTTTCTATTAAGTGGTCCATGAGATACCCTCAGTGCCCGAAACTTAATACTTGTTTCCTGTCTTCCAGTTGTTTCTAAAAGCTCCTGTTAACACTGCTGAATTAACTGATATATTAATACAACAGAACCATATTGGGAGTATTATCAAGGTAAGACAGATATTATATTTGTCATTGAAGTACAATGCTTTCTTTGTTAAAATGACATTATTTCTGTATTTCAGAAAGGGATCCTCTCTGTTATTTGTGTGCTTTCTTGCTTTTTCTGCTTTAAGAATAATTTTTCTATGGTAACTGAAATTTTCCATGCCTGCTTTCAAGCAAAGAATGAATTTGATGTGTTGTTATTGCTGGTTTCTTTTTTCATATGGAAGGCTTTTCCCTCCCTGAATTTCAGTGTAGTAATGCTGGAAATGCAATGCAGAGGTTTGTTACCATCTCCATAAGAAATAGCAGCTTGTGACTTCCCTACAAAGACACAGCTCTTTGTCTTCCTCCCTGTCAAAGCTTTGTTGCTCTGTGGCTGTCAGGACATTCCAGGTTTACTTCCCTGCATTAGGAACTGAAGGAAATTGGTTTTGTTTAAGATATTTCCGTCCCCTGGGCTGAGATGCTGCTTATTGAATGTGAGCTATCAGCCTTTAGTGCCTTTCAGAGGACTCTGCTGTAGAAGATGCATGGCCTGGCCCTCCTGAAGCTGGCTCTGGGCACACTGAGGTGTTCAGTGGTGCAGCAGGATTTGCAGTGTGTGTTTGTACAGATTGCCTCAATGGTTTTCATCTGCTGAAAGCACCTGAAAAGAAAAACATCTTTTGCTACAGAGTGGAAATAGAATGTCATTATGAGTTGTTGCTTTTCCTTTCATTCAACAGCAAGCAGAAGTGCAGGAAGACAGTTCTGATGATGAAGAGGATGATGATGAAGTATTTGGTTTTATAAGCTGCTTGAACTTAACAGAAAGGAAGGTTGGTATTCCTCAGTAACATCTGGTTATAAATATTAGCATCAGTAATAAATGAGACTGCAATCCTGTGTAACAAGCCTGGACAGCTGGACCAAGATTTGGAATTCCACTCTGGAGGACTGGGCTGATAAAACTTGAAGTGGCTTAGCTTTTTTTGAGTGCAGTAACTTGCTGAGGGTCAAACATGAAGCAGAGAATGAAACAGAGAGTTAAAACTGGGCCTAGAAATTCCATCATAAATGAGCTGTCAATCTCTTGTATTTCCTCCCTTTGATCTTCTGCAGTTTGGAGTTTTGTTTTGCAGCACTGTGGTGTTGCAGTTCCTTGTTCCCATCCCTTCACAAGCTTTGTTTGCTCTCAGCTTCAGGGCTGGAGAATGATTTCAAAGCAATTATGCTGTGCTTTAGGGGCTGCTGAGGGAAATTGCCACCAGGCCTGTAGGAAGTTCCTTCAAAGGTGACATTCAAGGTTTTCTTGCGTAAACATTTGTTGTATCAGGTAAAGGAAATGCACCTTTTGCTTGCAGGGCACCCAGTGTGCTGAGCAAATCAAAGAGCTGCTTCTGAGTCGCTGCGAGCAGAGCTGTGAGCAGCGTGTGGTGGAGCAGCTGAGTAAACTCCTCAACGACAGCACGAAGCCTGTGGGGCTCATCCTGAGTGAGAGGTTCATCAATGTCCCTCCACAGATTGCTCTGCCCATGCACCAGCAGCTCCAGTAGGTTTGCTGCTTTATTTTTTTCTTGCATGATGCTGAATGGTATTTTTCATCATATTTTTCAGAATTCTTATGTGTATAGAACTGTGTTAAGACAGCTGATGCTGTAGATATGAGTGAAGTGTGAACAAAAATAATCTCATATATGGTCTTTAGTTAATTTTAAAAATATTTTTATGTCTTTATAAAGGTACAAAACTTTCTCAAATTCTGTAGAGGATATAATTTGAGAACATGTGCTGTTCTACAGAAATAGCTGTGTGTATGTTGCAGTTTATCTTTGTGTTGCAGATGATTTTCACACTGGTCTAGGAAAATTTAAAAATGAGAACTTTGTTAGCAGCTTGGGTGTTTCTGTTTCTGTGTTAATGTCTGGCTCAGGAATGGGAGATTTGGACTGAGGGAAAGGATTAAAAGGAGAATTAGTTTTGACCCATGTAAATATGCAATGTTTTGATTAGTTTCAAGGAATGAAAGAGCAGGTGAAGTGCTGGTTGATCTCTGCTAATTCATGGATTATATCAAAAGCTGGGTGAATGTAAATAAATTAATCCACTGAAACACAGCATTACATTATTTTAGTGCCATGCTGAGAGCTGGGAACAGGAAGTTTTGTTGGATAAGGAACCAGTAATTGAATGGAGATCATCTCTTTTTCTTCTTTCATTTTTGCCTTCTTATCTCTCACGTGAGATGAGATTAGAAGTCAGATTGAGGTCTCCCCAATTCAGCACTTGTCACAGCTCAAATTCAGATCTCAGCCTCTTTGTCTTAAAGGTTTTGGAGTGACAACATGTTGAACACAAGGTTGAGCAAGAGTATTTTCTGTCTTTTCAGTTACAGTTCCTCAAGGGAGTGATAATGTGATGTATTTTTAAGGAGTTGCACATAGAATCATGCACAGACA